GTTGGCTGACTACCCAATGCGATTCTGTACGCTCTAAACCGGTTCCGAGCTTTTCGCCGGAGGGACCCCATGACTCGAACGTAACGACGCGTGGTCGAGAACGATAAGCCGGTGGTCACGATGCGGCGGCTCTGCTTGCAACGCAAGAAAACTTCATAAACTATCAAGAGACCGAGCACTGCTACGTCCGGCGTACGTAGCCGTATTCGTTAACGGGGTGTCTTCATTCATTAAAGCTGTGCGTATTATAATAAGCGTTATTGTGGCCCGAGAAGCTCATCGTTACATTTACCGACATCTCGTCGATAAGAATAATCTTTTTCTAGCTGACGCATATCGTAAAACAGCGTGTCATAAAATCGTATGAAAGAGCTTTTTTCTAGAGTGAGAGGAGAAACGGGGCGTTTGTTCTGTCGTGAAAATGTCTGGCCCAAATTAATTTTCGCTCGTGAAACACAATGAGGACGAGAAAAATAACGAAACCTTATGCGCGCCATCCGCTCAACTTGTGGCCGATTGGGTTCCTTAACGAAAACTTTTAACTTTTAATCTTAACATTTAAATAATTAATCTGAAGAAACAGATAAAATTTCTTTTCTTGCGAATTTTCAGTCTTATTTGTCTTATAAGTACGTTTAAACGAGCGTACGCAACCAGATATTGAAATATATTTATATAGTAAGTTTAATGTGCTCACGGAAAAGGTTAAAAATCGATGTTCTACTTACATACCGGGTAGATCCATTTTTAATTAAGTATCCATACGGCATACTATTCGTAAGCTTATAATTTCGCGGATTTTCCGATAAAAATTTATTTCCACGTTTTCAAGAGATATTATTCTTTCAACAAATTTAATATACACATCTATTAGAATTCGCGTTCGGTATTCTTAATTCTTATATATGTTCTCATTTCTTGCTTCGGCTACTTATGTTATTAATAACTGTTTACATACAACCGATACATAACAATCGACGAATCCATTTGAAGGGACAGAAATATCCGAGCGTAAATAAAATTTGTTTTATTTAGAAAGCTTAAAGATTTGAGATTCTAACTGTATTATATTTTTAATTTTTAGTAAAATTTTAATTAATTTATATCTTATCAAAGGTGAAAGAAGGACCACATTTGTGACAAATAACTTTGATTTTGTCCCAATTTTTAACATATGTATGCCTATATCACTAACAAATGATTAACACATAGCTCTATTATTGACGAGCAAAAAAACATTATCCGAATGTTACAAAATGACACAAATTCATGAACGTCCGTACGAAAAATACTACAAAAATACGAAAAAAATATTGATAGATTTGTTTCCGNAACTTAAACATGATCATTTATAGGCTAAGATCTCGTATTTGTATTATTTGTGGTATTTGTATTATTTATATTATTGTACACTAAATTCTAGAGAGGTAAATATATAATGATATACAATTCACATTTTCTCTTTAGAATTGGAAATGTTTATATCATTTTATCACTATCATTTTATGTCATTTATTTATTTATCTAGATAATCAATAATGAGGACAAATATTCTATATAATACCGATTAGTGACATACATATATTAATTATATACATATATTAATTATGAAAAATATATACTTTGTTACTTTTTTCATTTGTAAAATATTTCTTAATCTTTTCTCTTTTTTAATCTTTGACAGTACGATTTCAATTGAAGTTAAAGAATAGTAATAAAGAAATACTAAATAAATGCCTCATATTAATGGCTAACTTCTAAGATTAGCGTAAGAGTAACTGTTCGAACTTTCGCTAGTAGCACATTTATAATTATACTTTAGCAGTAACTACGACTTTTAATTTCACTTAAAACTTATATTTTATGTCAATAATATGTAAAATTCAGAATAAAAAATATATTTTTATGTAAAATAAATATGGAGCTATGTTATCCGAATTAAAAATAAAAAACAAATTCTATTGTCACTCGTTGAGACATTCACCTTATACAGATAATACCAACGAGTATCAGGAGAAACTACGGAAATTGTCAGCTATTTTAACGCAATTAAAAATCGTTAGACATGCGTAATAAATTACATCATGATAATATACCATCTGTTGAACATTGCACACGTTCTATTTCTATTTATTACCTTTTTCGATCGCTAAAATTAGTTTCGTCTTTCGGTTACAATAGAAAGGAAGAACATTTTTGTTATGAGTCCGCGAAGTAGGGAAATTCCTGACATCGTTCAACTCTGAAGTAATATAAAAATTGTGTTTATTCGGTGGCAAAACGATAGCAATACGTTTCTTTTTAATGGTTCTGATATGAGAAAAATGAGCGAATAAAAACTCTGAAAGAATGAAAATCGTGGAAGAAATCATATAATTTTCGCTGTTCAGAAATTTATTAAATTGAGAAATAGTAATAAGGCAGAAAATGTTTTCAACTATGTGCACAAACTTCAAAACAATAACGACCATACGAGAATATAGTTGCAAATACAAAATAATTACAATAAAAAATAAAAAATATAAAAAAATATATACACAATAATTAAAATTAATAATTAAAAATAGTAACTGATTCAATATTATCTAAAAATATCTGTTGGCTATTAATAATAATTGATTATTAATAATTAATTCAATAAGTTGGCTATTAATAATTAATTCAATAAGTTAACTATATAATAGTGTGTGTCGATATAATAATTTAATCTTTTCTTTAGACAGTTTTCATCACATGTTATGTGATAACGATAATACGTGTTATTTGATAACGATAATATGTGTTTCTTGATAAATATATAGAATTCAAAAATTTCTATAGCTTTTTAATACTGTGTTGAGCTATGATTTCAATGATCGAGTTGGTCAAGACATTCTGGCAAAAAGAAGGATTTTGATTTCTATGGCTACGATGATATTTTGTAACAGCCTTAATTTTCAGATGTATTAATAAACGAGTCATTATACACCGTATTTCTTAACTCATTCAACGTCCGCGTACTGCTATCAACCTTCCGCTACCATTAATTCGTGAACTTTTTTTACTCCACCCTATTACGCAAATCAACTGCAACTATTCGACCGTTCAGGCTAACTCCTCAATCGATCGACTCGACAATCAATTAAGCGTTTTGTCACTCGACAATCGCGTTACTGTCGTAATAACAAAATCACGTTACGCTTTTTATTTTCACACCGAATGCGAGAAAACAATCTCTTATTCACGTCACAAACCGTATTAAAATCACCGTCATTCCATGCTCCGCGTCGACGCGAAAACCTCACTAAACGTCAGCTTCCTTCAACCCGACTTTTACCGTATATACATCGTGTACACGCACTCTCAACAAAAGCCCACAACATCGTGTCATGCGCCGATCGCGCGAACTTTTGTCCGTTAAATTGTTCTCATCGGAACAACAATCTAGATTGATAAACGCGTTGACAAAACGAAGTGGAAAAATTAAAGAGAGAGAGAGAGAGAGAGAGAGAGAGAGAGAGAGAGAGAGAGAGAGAGACCAAAAAAGCTACATTTCAAATTAAAAAACAGAGGTCGCGCTTGCGCAAACATCACTTTGCATGCGTGTAATTATTTATTTATTTATTTATCTATTTATGATAGGACAGATCACAATATAATCAGATCATAAATAAGTAGGAGCGATAACGAGAATGAAGCAGCCGATCGCTGTCCGTCCGTCTGTTACCGTGCGCGCTGTTTCGTGTCAGGCTGCGCGTCGAGAAGCGTCGCATCGCACTTTGCCACACCGCGCGTCGCTTCCCGACATTCTTAATTGCGGGAGACAACGGCCTCTTGCGTTTGGAACCTTTAGCTGTACCGGACGAGTGCGCCATCGGCTCTGTTGCTTTCACAGCCGTACGCTGAATACTGCCGTTATACCTTCCGCATTTAAAGCGAAATAGGTGTGTACTCGGGACGTAGGATTAAGTGGAGGGCAAAAGAAAAGAAAAGACGTACGAGGGATTGTAAGAAAGTGCGGAAGAGCGCGCGCGGCTTGAAAGGCGGAGAAGACCTATTACCTGAAATCTAACGTTCGCCAAGAGTCCGAGATCCACGCGGCTTCTTCGCGAACTGTCTATGTTACATTTGTACTTTTCTTTTCTTTTTTTTACCGTGAGTTCCATTCTGTCCGTCTAGAGACTCCACTCGTATTTTCGAAATGAGACATAAGATGTATCGTGGCGCAAGCACGCGCGCGCACACATTTGCGCATCGAATGTTTCTTCTTTCCTTTTTTTATTTCATTCACTATTTTTCTATTCGTTGTCGTCGTGTGAAATCCTACGTGTTTCGAAATTCGAGCCTTTTGAGAAAAATGGAGAATGAACATTTTGCAACGATCACATCACGGTATCGCTGGACGTGTTGATATACACTATCCAGCGCCGCCAGAATTCGCGACTTCAGCGTCGATGATAAATCTCTGACGAAGATGGAACACGCGTCTAAACACCGCACGCTGACGAGCCGCGCTGAAAAACCGCGATTCTTGATTCGGTGACGTCGTGTGTGCTTTTCTGCACTATTAATCCGGCGTTCCGACACTTCTCGCCTGAGCCACGCACGACACTTCATTGTGACCTGTTCGATCTTCGCTGACAAAGTCTCTTTTTTTCCTTTCTTTTTTCATCGATTTTAATAGACGTTTCACGTTAAGCAGAAAACAAACGTGACGCGTGTCGTTTGTCATCGCGAACACAACCAACCACAATATTATTTTTTTTAGATAGACACAATCGGAATGAAGTTTGAATTTCAAACTTTGAAATTCTGGGACAAAATCGCACGTGTCATACGCAGTACGCGTTGCGTCGGAGAATGCACGGAAAACAAGAACTGCATACTCAACGCGGAAGAAGCTTGTCGTCCTGTATTTGTATCCTCGCGATAACACGACGCGCTCTGTCCCGAATTCGTTGCGGAATTCTAAGTTAAAAGCCAAAGTGACGCGAAAAGAGAATCGAAAAAGATAGACTTACCAACAAGGCAGAGTCGATCGGTTGTAGAGCGTGCGCCGAATTCCACCGAATATCCCCCGCTGTCAAACGACCGTTCGTCAAAGAGTCCCCGAAGAGAAAGAAGAAACTCTCTTTCTCTCACTGTCTCACTCACTCACTCACAACATTCACTCACTCACTCACTATCTCTCTTGGAACAAGATCCGAGCACAGTGTGCTCAGGCAACAATGCTCGCCGCCCGTCTCTCAGCGAAGAAGCCCTCAAAAGAAACTCATACGGAAAAATGAGAGAGTGTGTACGCATATGCATGTATAAGAGGGAAAGAGAAAGATAAGGCAAACCGTTTGGCACAATAAAATACAGCACTGGAAGAGAACACTGCGTTTGCAAACGCGCGCGTCACTCGGCGACGTCTGGCGATACAAACCGACACTTCGTCGCTCGTTCTCCTCTTATTGTTTTGCGATCTTCCGCGACGGGCCGCCGCCGCCGCTAAGATCCGTGGCGCGCAAGAAGTTGCGGCGAGAGAGACAAGGAGACGACGATTACGCGAGACCTCCGTCCGCGTCGTTTTCTGTCGCGCGTCACACGCGACACAACAATAACGAAAAGCAAAAAAGCCCAAGTCTCCGATCGCTGCGTGAGGAACACACGTACAGGACGGAACGAAACAACATATACACTACTCGCCGTTCGAGTCGCAACTGCCGCCACTGCCGGCTCAACACCCCACCGTAGCCCACTGTTCCCCGCTTTGCTCCCTCTTTTCCCCGTCAGTCCGCTACGCCCGCGTTGCCGATGCCGCGCCACCATGCGGCCGACAAAGTGCACTCGTCATCGTTGCCCTCTCCCCTCGCTGTCGCTCCGCTCCCCCTGCCATCTCGACACGACGCGCCACGCTGCTCCGACTTGCTCAACGACCCTGTTCCCTGCACTCCTTCGGCCTTCAACGGCTCACTCCCGCCGGCAAAGCTGTGCTCCTTTCGTTCATTCTCGATTAAAAATCGCTCCCCTCTTCAACTGCCTCCGACGGGAATTACATTATATCGCGTATGGTTATTCACGACAATATCCACGGTACCGCGAAAGATCATGCGAAATAAAATGTACGAGGCGTAAAGCGTCAGAAACGAAGAAGTTGTGTGAATCCAGGTAAATATATATTGTTCCTTTTCGCCTCTTTTTTTTTTACCTCCTCTGCTCCGCTGTCACAGTGTACATTTAGTTTCAACAAGATTTGGAAACTTTTTTCTTCTCAATGCAGCTTGGAACACAACCAATGATCCAATGAAAGAGCTTAACTTTCCGGGAATTAATAGAAAGCAAATTCTCTTCTTGGATCGTTAACCGCGGTCCAAACATCGGGAGAGAAATGTCCAAATCATGTTAGAATCAAGTGTACACCATTCAGTCAACATACGTTAACATGAGCGTTATTAGTATCACACTTATATAATGCACCGATCTCTCACTTCAAGCCCATTTTTATTTGAACTTTTCGATTCTATCTGACGAGTTCGTTACCAACGTCACTTATGGTGTGACAGCGATGATTTTTCTTTTAATATCAATTTAAGCTGTGTTTTATAGTTTACGTATACTATAGATTTTCAGTAGTAGGTAAATATCGAAATGTAGCCATAAACAAATTAAAATATGTTTCACACGTACATTTTACATACATTTTACAATACATTTTTACACATATTACACCTATAACCAGAAAATCCATGAAATATCTGTATATGTTTGCATTGAGATCTCGAGTCTTATTGTGCAACTTTTACCGAGCGTATGATTTGTTGTCACATGACAGGCGCTAAGGATGGAACAAGCGAGCGTGGCTATCATCGCTGAAGTTGAATAACAATTCACTAAGTCAACGTAAATATAGTTATATTATGATAGTTAAGGAAGAGAACACAAAAACGGAGGAAAAAGATAAGAAAGAGATAGATAGATAGAGAGAGAAAGAGAGAGAGAATGAGAAAGAAAGAAACGTTAATGAAGACTGATAGGTGTAACAGAATGGAGACGAAATAAAGAGATAAAGAGGCAAGGTTATGAGACATGGATTAGAAACGAAGAAAGCAGAGAAAGAAAGATTTATATAGATGTAGAATTACTGAAGTATATCTATATAGAGGCGTTTTTAGCATAGTAACATTAAAAATATAAGTTCGTTTATTAACAAAATTCAAAAGAAAAGGCTATTAAGACTTCTGGTCCCTCGCTATAACAGTCCTTATTTGATGACATCAGAAGCGAGAAAACGCAAGTCAAGAATTTTTGTGTTATACTTTTAAATAAAAAAATATACTTACAAAATGACATTTGTGATCGATTCAGTACACTTGTAAAATTGTCTGTACACTCTTCTTTTACTTGAACAATCAATAAACAGCCGGAAAATTAATTTGATACGGAACCATTCGGGACACATGCACTGATTCTGTTTTGGTGCCGTCTCGAGAGTGAATGATGCGAGAGCAGAACTGTCTCCGTAATACTGGACAGATGTGACCAATCTTGGTGCAGCATTAAGTTAGTGCGGCACTGAGAAAAAGATACATTTAGTGTAGTATTGCTTGGTTAGAGGTTGTAGGTTATTGATAGTGGATAAGTTAGAGGAAATAATAATATTATAATTATAAAAATGATAATATTGTAAGAAGAATATATATTCGTAAAGAAGATTGAAAAAATGAATGTAATAATAAAAAAGTAATTGTTGATGAAAACAACAGCACCACAGAGGATACAGATTATATTTCATGTGAAGTAGAAAAGAAACAGGTAGCATTATATTTTTTTTATAATTTTACGTATATTCTGTGTGTGTGTGTGTGTGTGTGTGTGTGTGTGTGTTATTAATATAAATGTGTGTGTGTGTGTTATTAATATAAATATGTGTGTGTGTATTATTAATATAAATATGTGTGACGCAGAATGGTTGAATATTTTATTTTTTAGATTACATTAATAAAATTTATAATTCTCTATATTTATAATTATTTCATTTAAGACAAAGTTAATGATATTAAAATGTCAAATATATACTAAAGGTATATTAATACATATATGTTTCAATAATAAGGATATTATCATTACTACTTCATATACATACTCTGAATACTATTATTGTTTGGTTTATGAATATATTTTTTAAGAAATATATTCTAAGGTTAAGAAATATATTTTTTTCTATTTAAATTATCTATTTTTATTTATTGGACAAAAAATATTTTATCATCCAAAATCACAATATTCATAAGTTCTTAAATAAATGATAAAGTGCAGAATAATTTTTTACATCTTANTGTATTATATTTGTTATTTTACTGTTACCGGCAATTTAGATACGATTATGGTGGCTAAAAACACATTACGCAAAGATAGTTATGAAATACCTGAAAAAAATATTGATGCTTCATATACCCAGGTGCAATTACAGGGAAACGATTCTGATTAAAAAGAATGGTCAGATATAAGTACCAGATGTTTACTAAACAAATATACTAATTATTTAGAATTAGTGGGGCCAATGAGAAAATTTAAAAACACAAAATGGCTACAAAAAGCGGAAGATTTAGAAATAGAGTTGTCGGAGGTGTGTAAAAAAACACATATTCAATGAATACGGCGAAAACCGTTATAAAACTATACTTAAAAGAAAACTCACTTGTGAAAAAAATAACTTAGTATCTGGATCCAAACGAGCAAAAATAAATTTTGAAAATAAAATTAAAAAGATTGCTAGTATATTAGGTGCTTGAATTAATTCTCGAAGTTTTTCCTACAAAAACTCATGTTTATTTCAAAAGAACGGTATATTATATCTTATTCAAAATATTGTCTTTCGGAAGCTACAACTTTTTCCCACTTTTCGAGTAGCATATGGATTCCGTGGTAGAAAAATTCAGGTTCTTTCGAGGCGATCCAGTCATCGAGCCATTTTTTGATATCTTCGAAAGAACTAAAGTGCTACTCAGAAAAGCCATGCTACATCGACCGAAACAAATGGTAATCTGAAGGAGTAACGTCTGGTGATTAGGGCGGGTGGAGTAAAACATTCTATCAAAGTGCCTCCAAGATTTCCTTCACTGGTGTTGCAACAAACTAGCATTGTCATGTCTTCTGGCGTCATTGAGGACATTTTTCTTTGAGTGTTCGATTCAAATTGAGCAATTGTCGTCGGTAGCGTTCAGCATTGATGGTTCAGCATTGATTCAATTGCAACAGTTCATAATACACTACACCTACTTGATCCCAACAAATGCACAGCATGACTATTTTTCCATGAATATTCTGGTTTTGATATTGATGGTTCGTCGGGACGCACCTATGATTTTTTGCGCTTATGATTGTTGTAGAATCCATTTTTTATCGTCAGTCACAATTCACAAAATGCAAAAATTCGCAATTTGCAAAAATGACCGTTCTTGTCTTTGAAGCAACAATTCACAAATAGTTAAACGTTTTGTGATGTCTCTTTCTCTCAATTCATGTGGCATCCAGTTTCCTAACTTCTGGGTCATTCCCATTGCTTTTAAACGTTTGCTAACGGTTGATTCAACGACATTTAATGTTTCCGACAACTCTTTAAACGTCTGACATGAATCTTCTTCCAGTAATACCTCCAATTCTCCATCTTCAAACTTTTTCGGTTGACGCTCTTCATTCACGCCATTCGCGTCAAAATCGTTGTCTTTGAATCATCCAATCTGTGCAAGTTGTTTCAAATAGAGCATGCTCCCTATAAGTCTCCACTAACAAACGATGACTTTCAACAGCAGATTTCTTGAGATGAAAGCAGAAAAGTAATGCTTCCCACAAATGCTCTTTTTTTGGTACAAAACTCGACATCTTCAATGTAATAAAAAATTGTATTCTTTGCACTACGATCTAATGTCACACACTGATTGTTAAAGCCTATTCAAACAGTGCTTTCATATACATCAACAGTCATTTTCGATCATGTTGAAATAGTATAACTACTAACCTCTATTAGTCAACAGCGAGAATTAATTCAAGCATCTAATATAATAAACTTATAACTACGTTGAACTGTATAAAAATTTAATCTTATTAACTACCTAAATCTTGTTTTTAACAAACCATAAGCATTTTCTATTTTTAACCTACAAGCAGAGAATTTGTTCTTCTGTTAAATTGTCATAATCTCTATAAGGTGTTATAGATATCTCTTAAGAGGATAAGCAGCATCTCCTAGTATATACCACTTATTTTTACTTATATCTGGTAACACTGCACTTATAAAAGATAATTTAAATATACGTGCGTTGTGCAATTTATTAGGTGGTCCAGAAACATTTTATTTGCATCATATATTGTCTATAGTGTTAAAGATGGCATATCATGTAGATTTACATATGTTGATTTAATTTTGTGAGCAGACGTATGTATCATAATGTACGTGCCACCTATAACATCATAAAATTCCAGAGAAACCGTTTATCTAAAAAAAAATATAAAAATAATATTCGCTAAAAATAAACACAATTCACTACAAAAGAATGTTGAATTCAATTCTACATCTTAAAATAATACAATCACAATATGTTAAATTANAGAATCCAACATAAAATTTTTAACTTTGACCGATTTTAACAAAAATACAAAATGTTTTTTACTGTGTAATGTAAGATGACAATCTGAGTATAAC